TTTGGATGCGATTAATCATTTGACAGCACTAATATATATATAATTTATATTATTATATAATATAATAATTAATTAAAATACCTAATTTAATTCATCACATGACCACATGATTTTTTACTGTCTGTTGTTTTTGTGATGAGTTTTTGTAAGGCCAGCAAGTTCACCAACCCATTTCAGTCTCATTTGTCACAGTCCATGTGTCTTAATAATGTGCACTGGAAAGGGATAAAATGTCAAGTTGATTCTCTTCTCCTCTGCAGCGGTTGTAGCTGTGGATGGCAAGCCTGTGAAACTTCAGCTTTGTGACACAGCCGGTCAGGTCAGTCCAATAAGCCCACTCAGCACCACTAGACCCAAACAAACCACCTCACACAAACACATTCAAGGCATAGGGTGTAAGTTCATCATGTCACTGTATAAGGATGACATATTATTTGCACAAACACATGCTGGTCGAAGCCTCTCTCTTAACTGTAAACAGACCCGTGAGTCATGTCCTAATTAGTCGTATGGTTGCCTGTCTGTAAGATAAGAGAAAGTGATTCAGTGTTGTTTTGCTTACTCATGATAAGGGTTTCTGGCAAAGTTCAGCTGAAGTTTGCAGTCCAGGCATCATAAGGAAGTATATGCTTCATCCTATGGGAGCACGCTATTATAGGTCAGTCAGTGTTTCTTCCTTTGTGGGAGGGGAGAAACCAGCTCTAGGGGCTCACAAATGGGAAGCAGTCTAATTGTGATGAATTGGGCTTGATCCGAGGGAAAGGGAGACCTGCTTTCAGCCGGGGTACAGCTGGGGCTAGTCACTGGAAATGTGAGATCACTGTGTTTCCGATGAGTTTAGTAAGCTAAGAGGAGACAGTGAAGGGAAGAAAGCCAAGAGAGATTTGGATCAGTCCTGTTTAGGCCAGTGGAAATGGAGGAAGGGAGAGAAGGAGAGAGAAACAGATAGAGAGTAAGAGAGTACATTGATTGGAGAGTTATAGAAATGTTGTAGTTTATATATAAATTTTCGCATGCTCAATTCCCTTATTTTTACATTTATTTGTCATCATCTTGCACTGACTTAAAGTTCATCTTTAAAAATAATAGTAATTTAATATCACGACTATTAAACGTAATTCAAATTGAATATCTGGTTTTGTATATTATAATGTTGTGATTCCTAAATTCATTTGTAACAACACACTTGCATATAAATTATAAAATGGGATTGTTTGTCATGGGTTAGAATGCGTCCAGCTGACTAATGTGAGAAGAAAGCCGTTTTGGCGTATCAACAGAAAACAAGCTGGAGACTCATAAGGAAGAGTAAAACAGATGGAATGCACTAGTAATAAACAGCAGATCTCACATTTGTGTTCTAGACTTTATCTCTCGTGCCGCTGACATCACATCGCGTTCTCATATTTCAGAAACACAGAATCATAAGCATGACCTGGAAGTTGCTAGTTTAGAAGATTAAAGTATCGTTACTGTAAGATAAGGCTACTTATTAGTGTTTGAAGCTTTTTAAAAATA